CAGGGTGAGGCGGGGGGTCCGGTCCCCCCCTCCCCCCGCCCCAGGGCCCGGAGCCCGGCTCACTGGATGGACTTGATCCACTCGTCCTTCTCCTCCTGCGTGGGGGCCGAGATCCGGTACACCATGTGGTTGCCCTCCACCACGCGGCCATCTGCCTCCGTCTTGCAGGCTTTGATGAGCTGCCCCTTGTTGTTGGGGATGTAAAGCTCAAAGCAGTTCTGGGGAGACACCGAAGGGGAGGGGCGGTGGTGAGAGCCGGCCTGAGGGCAGAGCAGCCCCCGCTGCGGCAGGAAGGGGTACGGGGAGGGTCTTACTGGTTTCCGGGGGTCGTCCACCTCCCGGATGCTCAGATTCTCCAGGGGGATGATTCCTCGGGGCTCCTTGTCCTGAAAGAGCAAGTCGGACAGGACTCGGACCTCCCAATCCTCCCCCGGCCCTCCCCGCAGGCCCCCCGCTCAGCCCCGGCCGGTCCTCACCGTGGTGTACTCAAAATAGTAGAGGCAGTTGTCTGTGAGGATGAACCAGCGCCGCTTCCACGTCTTCACCCGGCCCCCTGAAAGGGAAGGGGGGGAGGGGGCCCGGGCTCAGCACAGGGTCAGGGCCTCTGGGAGGGGGAGGGGGTGAGAGGCAGAGCAAGCGCAGGGGCGCGGGCTGTCGGGGCCTGGGACGAAGCAACGCGTGGGACAGACAGACAGACAAGCAGGGACAGGCGTGCTTGGGCCCCGGGAACTGGTCCCCCCCGGGTGGGCTTTCCGCTCTCTGAGCCTGCTGGCCAGCCCGGGCCCAGGAGTCTGAGCCCCCAGCCCCCTCTCCGGTAGTGACGGGGAGCGAGGACGCCATGTACCTACCTCCTGGGGCAGACAGCGAGAAAGCAGGCAGGACCAGGCGAGAAGGCAAGGCAGAAGAGTGGGGTGCCCCCAAGAGCCACAGGCAACAGAAATAGGGTGGGCGAGGGAAGGGATGCGCAGGGGGTAGGACAGAGAGAGAGAGAAACAGCAAAGAGAAACACGCAGGGAGGGAGGGAGGGAGAGAGAGGGAAGAAAACCAGTTACATCCACATGAGGGAGGATGGGCCAGGCCCTCTCCCTCCCGGGGAGGCGAGTGCCCTGAGCCCAGGAGGCAGCCATGAGCACCCCCTTCGTCAGTGTCAGGCCCCAGACCACCCCGCCCACGTCCTCGGCCCTCCCCACAGGGGAGCAGACAGAGCCCCGCCTTGGCCAGGTGGCGTGGGGACTCAGGTCCAGCACAACTGCCCGTGTGACCTCAGCACCACCTCTGCCCTCTTAGCCGCCCTCCTGCTTCCAGATGCCCTGCTGTGGGCTCCTGGTGGCCAGAGGGACTGAAGAGCAGCAGGGATCATGGCTGCTAACCACCGTGACCAGATCTGCCGCAGGCCCCTCTCCTGCGAGTCAGTGTCTAAGGGGCGCCTTTTCCTAATGACCGCAAAGCAGAGAAGTGCTCGGGTCAGAGACCGAGCCTCGCTGTCCTCACCCGAGAGAGGGGAGGGATGCCTGAGGGAGGCGTTTGGAGGGGAAATCGTTGGTGACGCTGCCCTCTCGCCACCCTCCCTGCGGAGCCAGAATCCGCCAGGAACCAGGCACCCAGCACGTTGGGTGGAGGACATGATTTGCATTTTTCACGCGCACCCGGGCCGTCTGCACCGGGCAGGACCCACTTCTAGTGCTGGAGAAGGCTGCCGGGCTCGGGCACAAGCCCACACCGGGGAGGGGAGACGACCTGGGAGCGCGCTGGGCTGGCGGCTTCCCGGGGCCTCCCGCTGCCCTGCTGTCTGCACTGTGCACACGGGACTGGGGCGCTGTCAGTCTGCCTCCCAGAGCAGCCGTTCAGGGCTTCTCCATTAAAAAGCCGCAGCTAACACTCCCCTGGCACCTCCCATTACCAGGCCCGGCTGCGAGCCAGCTCACAACCTCGGCTCTGCACTAGGGCCACCTGGGGAGCTTTCCCCATAACTGACGGCTGTCCTGCCCCCTCCGGGCTTCACAGGCCAACCACCGGGTGTAAGAGCTCCCAGGTGACGCTCCTGTGCAGCTGGGCCGAGGCACCATCCTCAGAAAGAGGCACCGCGTGACCCCTGCTAACTGACCGTGACCCCTGCGAACTGGCCGAATCTGCTGGTGCCACGCCCCCTCCCGTCCCGGTCAGGGACTTCATCCACCCGCACAGCCTGGCAGTGCCCTGTGCCCCTGAGCCCCTCGCTTCCCCCAGTGTCTGCGGAGCCCCCAGCCGGGCCTGCGCCGGGGCCAGCACACGGGCCGGCTCAGCCTCATGACGCAGACGCACAACAGGCCGAGAGGTCGCCTCGCTGCCTGGGGTCACACAGCGGAGCCCAGGCCCACTGACCTCCCCCTGCAGAGGCAGCCAGCAGGGTCAGCAGGGGACGTACCCAGCTTAAGGAGCCAGCCCTCCCGGTCTGGGTTGAAGAAGGTGTGGGTCAGGTCATTCCCGTCATCCTCCGGGATCTTGAAGGGCTCATTTCGAATGCTGTCGTAGAGGTTCTGAGGGGCGAGAGCCCAGTGAGCAACGCCAGCCCCGGGGACCCTCCAGGGCCTACTTGGCGGGGGCGGGGGTGGGGAGGGGACAACAATGAGACCACAGGTGGGACAGCCATGGATGAGAGAGGGAGGGGGAGCCTGGGAAGAAAAGGGAAGCGGAAGCAGAGGAGTGGAGGGGGCCCTGGGGAGGAGAAAGAAGGCAAGACGGAAAAGATGGAGAGAAGACCCCGCCGAGCTCTTAAAGACAGACACAGACAGAGGTGGGAATGAGGGAGACCAAGACCCTGGAAGTCAGAGGGCCGGGGACGGAGACAGGGAAGAGAAACAGACAGAGGCAGCGGGGAGAGACAAGAAATGGTGTCCGTGGAAAGGCGGGGTCCCAGGTGGAGTGCCCGGGCACTGGAGGCCCACGGGGAGGGCTGTGTGCTGTGGGGAGTCCGTGTATAACTTTTGACTTCCCAGCCATCCCTCACTATCCTGAACATTCCAGGACCCCACCCACCATAGATGCCCAAATCCAAGGATGCTCAGGTCCCTTATATGAAATGGCATAGAACAATACATACAGCTGGCCCTGAAAATACTATGGGACACGGGGCAGTGGCCCCACCGCCTCCGGCCCCAGGCCCAGCCCCTCCCCGCCAGGCCCCAGGGTCCGGGCGCCCACCTGTGGACTGGAAAACCCCGGGGTTACACAGGCAGTAGCGCTGGGCAAAGGCTTCCATCATCCGGTCAATCTTCTGGGCCTCTCCAGGGAGGCGGAAGCTCCACAGGAACTGCCTGTGGGAAAGGGCCAGGTGCCGTCAGGACCGGTGGACCCCTTTCCCGCGCTCAGTCCCGCCCAACCTGCGGCCTCAGCAGCTGTTTCGCGTACGGACACACGATCCAGTCGGACCAATGAGCACTGACTCTGGGACTTGTGGTGGATTTAAGGAACGTGCTCTTTGTCCTAAGTTTGCTAACGAGGCCTGGAGGACAGCAGAGGCTTCTGTTATCCTGTAAGAGCAGGCCTGCAGCCAGCAACGCCAGCACCGTGGCGAGCACAACCAAGAGTTTAGCTGACCTTCTGGTGCCATCGGAACATCTGGAGACAGCTGCGCCTGAAGGCCCCACCACGGGCTTTGGTTACATGCAGCACCAAGTCCCCGATTTTTGCTTCTATTTTAGTTTTGAGCAGCGTCATCGCTTGTAAAGGAGGAGGCCTGCCAGGCACGTTCCTGCCCTGCCAGCCCCGTCCCTCACCTGAGGGCCTGCACCAGATTGAGGTCGGTGAACTCATGCAGATCCACGAAGGCGTGCAGCACGGCCAGGTTCAGCTCTTCCCTGGGAGGAGAGGCACGGGCACTCAGAAAAGGCGTTCGGGAAGGTGGGCGTGGCCCCAGCGCTGGGGAGGCCGCCACTCTGCACCCAGTGCTGGCCTGGCCCACGGCAGGGCGCTCAGAACATGCTCTGGGAGGATCGTCTGTTCTAAGAGCCCTGGTGTGGCTGACCCTTTGCACAGAGAAATGCAGCCAACATGTGCTCCGCCTACTGTCACCTCTCAGCTCATCCCCAGGCTCCTCAGATGTCCAGAGGTGGCCCCAACCCCCCAGACATGCACGGTCGGTCCCCACCCCCCCATGTTCACAAAACGTTCCCCACAATGCCAGATGTCCCCAGTCGCCACACATCGCAGCTGTCCAGATGGTCCCCACATACAGAAGGTTCCTAGACATCAGTTCCCACATTCCCAGACAGTCCCCACACACCTCAGATGTCCAGAAAGTTCCATACACTCTAGATCCCCACACCCTCCCGAAGCGCCCAGACACCCAGAGAGTCTGTGCACCTCGGA